TGCTTATCACCATAGATCCTTCATCTGGCAAAGGACGGCAATACAGTCGGAGACCCACATTGGAGCACCGGATTGAGCCCCCCAAGGTCCAAATCAGGAGCAGAAGGAGGAAGAACATGAAAAACGAAATCAGGACTGCGAGGGATGCTATCATCCACTGATACAAGGGAACGGATCTAATGAGAGTTTACCAAGACCAGTTGGACTGGGACTGAACGAGGAGGTGATCTAACCAGATTCTCGGAATTTGGCCGGATTCTCTGACTGTGGCTGGCCCGAAGTCTTTCTGAAAAGCCATTGACTATGATACTGGGACCTGTTTCCTCTGCATATACTGGATTTTGGGCATCCAGTCTGTTTGGACACTCACCTTCCTGGACCTGGAGGGAGGGGGAAGGAACTGGAACTTCCCACAGGGCAGGAAACTCTGACTGCCCTAAGGGACGAAGAGGGAGGAGGAGAGGGAGTGGGGGGAGTGGGAGGGTGTTGGGAAGAGGGGCGTAAATGGAAACTTTTATAATTTAATAAAATTTACTTTAAAAAAAAAGAGAGAATGTGAGGGCAAAAAGCAAAAGCAGAAGTGTGGCCCCCAAAGGGTTACTGGGTAAGAAATTGTCTTCTGTATCTCTATTCTCTCTTACTATAATGGCAAAATGTTTGTATCTGTCTGCCTTAATAAAACCTTGAAAGTTAGTGGCATAGTTGCCTGAATGGTGATCCATGTGTTAAACAACACCCAGGTTCACATTAAACATTAAAGATGTAAAATAGGTTTGGAAGGTAGACCTGGGAATAATTATAGTTTGTTAATTATTGTGAATTTTATCACATCTTGGAATCACGAACTTCCTCAATGATTCTAACAGAAATTGCTTCCCCATTACCCTATTAAAGAGGCACAGAGGCTCAGTTTTTCACAGGCTCTATTCTCTCACTGTACTTAGTGATTCAGCTGCCTCCATTGGATACTGAGTAAGAAAATCAATAATTTACTTTTTTTAGAATCAAATTGCACAAGATTTCCCTTTGTGACCTTGCTGATGCTATAAAAATTTGTTCCTTTTTCATTCCTGTTTAATAAGTGCAGGCATATTGCATGTTCAATAGAACTTTTAACACATACACCCTAGGACAACTTAAGTTTTAAGGTGATACAGTAACAGAATTGTTTCTTTAGCCTTTCTTCAGACTCTGCACAACGTTTTTCAAAAAATATTTATTTATAGTCTTATAACCATATAGAAGATCCAGGCAGGAAACCTAGGAAGTCAATGACTTTGTGATTGCGGGTCTCCTAGCCTCATCTGATGAACGATGCTGAAAGTCCATTTCTTTTATAATTGTCATGAGTACACATTACTGTTGGTGACTATATAAATGTATCCTAATGGGAGTTTGGGGTCCAGAAGAGAGGAAGCAGAAAACAACAAACTCTGAAGGTGGGAAATAGGAGAATGAGAAGGGTATGAGCATATGGATGAGTCCCTGCAGCTTCATCCTGGAAGGCAAGAGGTACCAAGGATTTGGATCTGCCTGGGTGCATGAGGTGAGTGAAGCATGAGACTTCACTGAGCCTGGGTGAGTGAGTTTTAGCTTTCCCTACAGGATTTCAGTTATCTGGAGTTGGGAGCAGCCCTGAAAAACAGGTTTCTCTTTAGAACACAGAGATGAACAGTCATACAATTTTCTTTGGACTGGAAACAGTTGGGCAGTTCAGACATAATATGAGGACTGGAGGGGGCAGAGGGGCCATCCAAATGTGTCCAGAGTGTCCCTCTGCCCAACTGAACTGCCAAATTCCAGGTCTGGTTGGACCCTTCATGGCTGTGGTTCAAACTCAAGCCTGTGCCATGGGTGACAATCCTGATGTTCCACTTGAAAAATAGCTACACAAGTTCAGAAAACTAGATGGCAGCCCATAGTGGCCTCTTCCATTATTGGGTTTCTGGGGCCTACTGTTGTATGCTGACCTCCATGTGCCTGCCATTTAAAGGCTGACTACATTGTCCCCCAAGAGTTTTTTCTCCTAAGAACAGTCCTACTCTAATGTAGGAGGTAATGTTCTTATTTACTCACTGGGGAAATAAATTATTCTTCCCAATGTGATCATTAAATAACTCTTCCAAATCTGTGGTTATGCACATTTGAGCCATTTCCCATTGGTTGTACAAGTCAGTCACTGATACCTTCAAGCTCACCTCTTCTTTTACACTCACTAATTCTTGTTCACTTATGTGAAGCCAAGTATGGTGCTATGGGACAGCAACCAGTCTCCACAATAGCCAGGAAGTTGATATTCAACAATAACTAGATCCAAGGCTTCAGTTCTCTTCACAGAAACTATTTAGCCCCATGCTTCCTCTAGAGTTCAAGATTACTTATTCTGAAGCATCTTGCTGGTGGATAAAAGTGACAGATCTCAGTCTCCTGTCTGGCTTCTCAGCTCAAGGTTGTCGGTGGTTGGCAGTGGCTTCTTGGGTGGCTGTTACAGAAAGATTTTCTTCAAGTTTAAAACATCCCCTCTAGTTTATATGAAACCAATCGAAGAGAGGGAGTAGATGGAGGCCAGCTACCAGCAGTAAAATGGAGGCAGAAGTGCCTAGTTATTCTAGGGAGATTGTATTCTTCAGTTTCTGGCTGTCTTCCTCTTCATGAGTCACTTCAGAGGCCCTAGGTGAAAAGCCTTTGGGGAGAGAGTAACATCCTTTAGCTTAACCTTATATTTTATGAGTAAAATGAACCAGGAATTTCCCAAAATTAAAATTTCTCTGACCTGACTGGAGCTTACAGGATTGGTTATTTTAATCCACTGTCTTAATTAGGGTTTCTATTGGTGTGAAGAGAAATCATGATCATGGAAACTCTTATAAAGGAAAACATTTAATTGAGGTGGCTTACAATTCACATGTTATCATCATGGCAGAACATGACTGCATGCAAACATAGGATTGGAGAGGTAATTGAGAGATCTACATCTTGATTTGCAGACAACAGGAAATGAATTGTGTCACTGCATGTAGCTTAAACATACCTCAAGGCCCAACCTCACAATGACAAACTCCCTCCATCAAGGCCATACCTACTCCAACTGAGCCACAACTCTTAATTGTACCACTCTCTTTGGTGATCATTTTATTTCAAGCCACCATAGTCACCTTCAAAATTCTATCACTTGACTGCATAAAAATGACCAGATGAGGACAAAATAAACAGCTGAAAAAAAGAAGTTTTATGAGGAAGTCCTTTCTTGTTTGGAATTCAATTTCTGTCGAAAACATTGCATTCCTCTTTAAACCCGGATTGGACACTTTGCACTTTGTAACACTCAAAGCTGGATAGCCTTTCACACATAGAATCTTTGAGATACTGACTTATCGGATGTGGTGGCTTGCATGAGAATGGCCCCATGGGCTCATAGATTTGAATTCTCGATCACCAGAAAGAGTGGGAGGTGTATCATTGTTGGAGGACGTGTATCACTGCAAGTGGTCTTAAGTTTTCCAAAGCCCCAGCCAAGTACAGAGTCTTGCTCTTCCTTCTGCCTGAGGATCCAGAAGTAGGACTCTCGGCTACATCTCCACGATCATGTCTGCCAGCATGCTGCCGTGCTGGCTGCTTTGCAGATATTGGACGAAACCTCTGAAACTGGAAGCAAGTCCCACTTAATGCTTTCTTTTATAACAGTTGCTGTGGTCATGGTGTCCCTTCACAGCAGTAAAACACTCAGTAAGATAAGACACTAGAGAATCAAAATTTATATCCTGCTTTTGGGTGAGAAAAATCACTTAGTGCTCCTCTCTGTGAAGTGAGACCACAAAGTCCCCTCACTATTGTTTCTCCCAACAATCCATTTAGTTTCACCCTCCTAGCTCTGTTCTCCTATAGTTCTTCTATAGGCCCCAAAGCAATTCCATTATTAACCAATAATATTCACAGCATATAGAGGGGAATCCCATATCAATTGTGAAGATAACATGAGGTACTTGGTGAGTGTCTAGAATGTTCTTTTTTTAAGAGTGGAATTATCGAGATTTTGGTTTTTTTGACAGATTATTTTTTATTACTTTATAAATAATGCCATTCAAATTTTCCTGACATATGGTAAAATTACAGAATATTTACCCTTTTCTTTTCTAGAGCACATGAAAGGCATAACAAAACTAATGTCTGAAGAGGTTAAACACATGAGTGCACTTCTTCCATGGGCCAAAGTTGACTTTGGCTTCCTGGCCCAGGAGGCTGCCACATGCACCTAGTGTGTAGACTATTTTTTTCCTCTTCCTCCATGCTGGTCACATTTCTCTTTTAAAGTCAGTCCTCTCTGCTGAGTACAGGACTACTGGACCAGCAAACATCAGGGCTTTAGCCTCCCCTCTAAGGATTCCCCCTTCCTCCAAAATTTCCCTGTCACTGACCAGTTAGAGCTCAGGCTAGGGTTGGGCTTGAGGGGAATGTGAAAAGTTCCTGGAACTCACTAGGAGGTCATAGTTTGTCCTTTGAGCCTCCAGTCATCTAGGCCAATTTCCTTGTATGGGTCACAATGGCTGTCTCCACCGTTTCTATCCCCTTAGATAGAACAATATTGAATGTTATTTACTTTCCTTACATACTCTTGTTTACTAATTTCCAAATAGATTACTAGAAGCAGTAGTGAGTATCATTTTAGTCCAATATTTCATTATATAGATGAGGGGAGAGAACCCAGAGAAAAGACTTACCCAAGCTAGGCAGTAAGTACCCGTGGTGATTGAGTTCCTAAACACCTCATTGTCCCATTTAGTGTTCACGCTGTCTGACTTTCTGGTTGTTCTCCTTTTTGTCTTTTTCTTGGAAATATTATATATGTATGGTGTATATGTTTATAGATATGTACATATATATTGTATTATATATTACATTAATTATATTTTATGTATGTTTAGGTACATATATGTATATATGTGTGCATGTTTATTCATTACAAGTTCTCATTATGCATCTTTGGTCTTTTTGAAACTTACTGTGAACATCAGGATAGCCTGTATGAATTCGTAGAGTTCCTTTACCTCTGCTATCAGAGTGCTGGGACTAACGGTGATGTTTGCATTCCTCATTTCCATACTTAAATTGTGATTTCAAGCTTTTGATATCACTTAAATTATAGAGATATATTGGTGAAATATAAAATGGGTAAGTTTTGAATTATCCTAGCTGCTGTTTTCCTATTTGTGAAATAGGTATAGTTTAACAACATGTTTTGTCTGGATGGTTAGGATTAGTCTGAAGAGCTGCAGATATTGCATCACTCCTGTTTGGTCTACAGCAAGTTACCCTAACAACCTAGAAAAACAGTTACTAATTGTGGATGGATTTATAGACCTTCTACCCATTTGCTTATGAAAATATTTCCTTTTCTAAACTCCTGTGATTGGGGAAGCTAGGGCCAACAGGAAACCACTTACTCATAGGTAATTTTGTACAAGTCATGACCTCTCTGGCTTGTACAAAAGAGCCATGTTCAGGTAGAGGAACAGAGACAAGATAGATCTTCCACTATGGTGTAAGAAACAAATATATTCTTTTTAAATTTCAGGTATATTACCCCTAAGTCTATAATCTCAAATGCCTCCTACTAAAAATCTGAAACTTCTTGATGATTCAGTGTAGCAGATGGAAAACTCCCAACTTGAAACCATGTATTATGTCACAGCTGAAATTAAGGTGCACTAAAAATTATTGTACAAAATTACCTTTGGATTTTATGTATACAAAATTTTGTGTTTAGAAATTTTAACTATCCACTTTCTGACTGGCACTAAGGCTCACTCATGATACATAATATACACCTGACACTCTTAATGCAGTCACAAACCTACAAGTAGATAGGTCATAGGCCCTAAAGGAGAAATTGTTACTATTATTCTGCTAAGTGAACGTAGTAGCATTTAAACGATACCTAATTATTTATTGCTATACCCATGAATCACACTGTATAATAGGTGACTTCAGTACCCCATTATTATATTAGACAGGTCAACTAAACATAATAAACATAAACATTTGAGTTAAATGATATCACAAATTAAACAGACTTAATAGATATCTACAGAACATTGCATCCAAATACTACAAAATGCATATGCTTCTTAACAACTCAAGGAATTTTCTCAAATAGATCACATATTAGGGTTCCAAGAAAGTCTCAAAAAATTATAGGAAAGTTGAAATAACCTCTTGAATTCTCTGACCACAATGCAGTAAAGCTAGAAATCAACAGCAACTGCAGCTACAGAAAACATAAACTCATATATCTCAAGCAACGCAGTATCAAATAATGAAAGGGTCACAGAAGAAATCAAGATAGTTTGATATTCCTAGAATTAAATGAATATGAAAATCTGTGAGATATAATGAAAGCAATCCAAAAAATAAAGGTCAGAGATATAAGTACATACTTAAAAAAAGGAGTCACTCCGATATACCTTATGGCTTTGGAGAAACAATAGCAATTGATAGATGGAAATAAATATTAAAATAAAGAAAGCAATTATTGAAACCAAAAAGAAAAATAATATAAAGTATCAGTGAAATAAAGTAGGTCCTTTTGAAACATAAATCAGATGGATAATCTCTTAAACTAACAAAAGAAAAATGAAAAATACAAAATAAGATCTTAAAAATTAGACATATAAAGTGAGGGCTTTAAAATAGTTACAAATAAAATCCTGAAAATAGTAAATACATGCCTCACAAAAATATAATTCATTTAATTGGATGGGATGAATAGGTCTTTGTTCACATTTTCCCAGGGGAACAAATGGAATACAATCATGATGATCTCACTCAGAAACACTCTCAGACATGCCTGGGTACATTGTTTAATGAGCTCTCTGAGCATCCATTAGTCCATTCAACTTGATAAAAGTTAACTATTGCAATATGTTTTGTAATTTTAGTGTAGTTTTACTTTCACAGAAAAATTAATCAGAGTATGTAGAGCCTCTCTTGTTACCAACACTTAGTACCAGAGTGACTTATATCTTAAAATTGATGAACTATTGTGTCACATAGTAGAATAAAGTTCATAGTTTGCATTAGAGTTCATCCCTGATACTGCACAAATGTCTAATGATATAGCAATCACCTTAAATGCCTTTTATGCTTTGCTTATTCATTCTTCCTTTTCTATACACTTCGGGTACCACTAATGACTTATTATATCCGGAATTTTGCCTTTTATAGAAAGTCATATGGTTAAAATAATAATACTTGTAACTTCCTCATTAAACTTCTTCCATGTGGTTTCATGAATCAATAGTACTTTTATTTTTAGTGGTAAATATTTTTATAGCCTTAGTATATCACAATTTATCTGTCACCTTCTAAAGACATCAGGATTGCTTCAAAATTTTGGCAGTTATACATAAACCACCAAAACATCTATATGAGGTTCTTTTGTATAATGTCTATTTTCTGTTGTCAACTTTAGTACATCTGAAATTAACTAAAGTTTGAAAGACCAGGCACCCTGGTGAGGGGATTTGGTTGTTTGTTTGTTTTATTAATTAAATAATTTATATATATAATTAAATAATTATATATATATAGAGAGAGAGAAATTAATTCTATATGTTGTGCTGCTCTAGAGAACACTGACTAACCTATTGTGTGTACATAAGTTTTCAAATATTTTGAGTAAATTGGAGTGAGACTGATGGCTCACAAGGTAAAAATGTTTGATTTTTGTAAGAAACTGCAAGAAAATGTCAACACAGGAACTCAAACAGAGCAGAATCCTGGGGACAGGAGCTAATGCAGGGGCCATGGAGGGGAGGTATTTACTGGCTTGCTCACCACAGTTTGCTCAGCCTACTTTCTTATAGAAACCAAGGACCACAAGCTTAGGGATGACATCATCCACCATTGCTTGTCCCCCCTCCCACTGATCACTAATTGAGAAAATGCTGGACAGATAGATCTCATGGAGGCATTTCCTCAACAGGGGCTCCTTTCTCTCTGATGACTTGAGCTTCTAAGGCCACAGTGAAGCCACACAATTCATATGGTCAAGTGATGTCAGTGAAACCTGAGATTCATTTAATGTTTGATATTGAACAAATCTTTTTCTTTGGGAATTCAAAGAATTTTTTAATTGCTGCCATTTTTTCATACCTATACATTCAGTTACATGATGCTATATAGTGGTATAACGTAGCTTACAAAGCTGTGTGTATAGATCAAATTATGAAGACCTAATATTGGTAATATCAAGTTTATAAACATGATTATATACATGGTTATAAACATGATTACCTAGTTACTTATGTAGTTCTTGAATTTTTCATTAGAATTTTTTTCCTTTCCATCATATATATCTTCCACATTTTAAAATTTACCCTAAACTACATAGAAAAATATAAAGACATGAATAGAGACTATAAGATACATGCAGAAGTCAAGGGATGAATTTAAGCTGGTTTAGTGATTTTAGCCTCAGGTTTGGATGAAGGCCAGCAGAATGCCACTGGGTCCGCAACCTTTAGTAGAAGTGTCCAGCACAGAGCACCCCCAGGCCTACAGAGATGAAGCCGTTTGCTGGGTCTGATGTAGTTATTTAGACACTTTTCCAGACCTATTCATTTCTGCCCCATGCATGGAAGTGTGAACTAATCACCAGCCATTTGCAACATGTTATTAACTACCTAGATTAGTTATCCTTGCATCCCCAGAATGAAGATATCTGACATAATACATTTCTAAAAAGAAAGGTATATTTTGGCCTAGAGTTTGGAGAGTCTGGTCTAAGGTAATGTGGACCCATTTTCTGTCTTTGTTGAGGTAAAGGCCGAGTGTTAATTACACTTAAGGTTACCAGGCAAAATAAACAAGCATTTCTAGTATTTAAAACAGTTTGTCTTTTACAACACATCACAGATTAGTTATTTGATCTCAGATAATAAAAATGTATGAAGATTCTAGCTTTCTAAATTCAACTTGATATAAAATGATCTTACAAATATTTAACAAATTTCTTTACTATGTTGCATATTTAAGGAATATTGTAATTTGGTTCAGCCTAGGCAGATGAAAGACCTGCACAGGAGTGCCTGGGTCCTCACAGTCTGTGCTGCCTAAAGGCACACACAGGTCTCCTGGTGCCACTGAACCCAGGTGGGTGAAAGACATGCACAGGCCAGTCTGGTCTTCACAGTGCTGGTTGACTGATGACATCCATGGAACTGCTCAGCACCTTGCAGCACTGGCCAAGCATTTGCCATTATGATGAGCAAACACATAACAGAGAAATGAGGGAGAATGAGAAGCAGAATGGTTCACGTGATGTGGGAAGAGGCAAAACTGAAGAATTAAAGGTAGTGACAGACTGATGTGTGTAGTGATGAGGCAAACAGGCCTGCTTTTCGTCCCGCCCAGCTCCCGCATGGCTAGATTTACACTCAAAATAATTACATGGAAACTGTATTCTTTTAAACACTGACTGGCCCATTAGCTCTAGCCACTTATTGGCTAATTCTCATATCTTGATTAACCCATTTCTAATAATCTGTGTAGCACGATGAGGTGGTGGCTTGCCAGGAAAGATTCAGCATGTCTGACCTGGTAGTTGGATCCATGGCGTCTGCCTGCCTCTGCTTCTCTCTCCCAGCATCCTGTTCTGTCTACTCTGCCTATCTAAGCTGCTGTCCTATCAAAAGCCAAGGCAATTTCCTTAATAACCAATGAAAGTAACACATAGACAGATGACCCACCTACATCAGATGTGTGTAGCCTGCTTGCCACCCAGGACCAGGGTGATGTTCAGCCCAAGCTGCAGCCAAGGGCCATGTCAGGGTTTGTACCCCTACTGCAGCCAACATCTGTGATGGTGCCCATAGCTTCAGTAACCATTGAAAATCATAGATGCCTGGGGTATATTCAGCCACCTGAGTTCATGTTGGTTTCTGAGGACTATGCTGACTGACACTCGGGCCATAGTGATGTCCAAGACCAGGCTGAGGTGTAAGGTGATATCTGGGTCCCTGGCCTACCTGTAGCCAGGATTTGCATTGTTGTCTGTAGCTCCTAATAACATGGAATGTTATGCTGATGCCAGGGA